AATTTTCAAACCATTCCATTTTCTAATCACTTGGAATATATTCATCATTTGTCAATATTAGGATACGCTGAGTTTCATCAAAATCCAATCTGTAATAAGTGGGTGGGTATTAACTTTTAAAATCCTTAATGAAGGAGGTTTCCCAGTCAGTATCTGAATTGCACAAAATGTGGTTTATTTAAGGGCTTGATGCATACAACTCGTACAGATTGCACGCCACAACGCTAAAATGAAAAAATTGATTGGGTGAATAGGGGAGAATGGAATCGATTCGAAATAGCTAATCCACTGCATTCATTGATACAGAAAGTTTGAAAGTCCAGCAAAAAGGGGGCTTTTTGCTATTAGCAATGCTGCTAAATGGCATCATTTCGCGTTTTCAATTTCGAAAGAGAATTTACCACATTACGCTCGAAAAGAAGGATTATGTAAACCTTACGAAAGTACAAGCTAAGAGGTCTACATGTATGAAAATGATATTTATGCCATCAATAAAACTTTTGAAGGCAGCTCTGACCATTGTGTACTATTTTACAATAGTGTTTGACCAAAATGTGAGAAATTTATTGAAATTTTTCTTAATGGACTTAAGGCAAGTGGCCATCAATCTTCTCCAATGTATTTCATATTTCCTATCCTTTTTGCATTCTTCTATCTTGTCCACAAACGGGGCTATATATCAAATCTCAACTTGTTAGCTGTTGCGACTGCCTACACTCATTATTTGCAAATAGCTGGAAAGTCAGTGCTGAAACAGAAGGAACCACAATAAAAAGCATGTTCATGAAACTAAACTATGAAATAAGATGGTTAATACAGTAAGATTCTTAAATTATCCCCAGTTCCTGATTGGCATAGTGGAATCAGAATTATTATAAATTCAATTTAATCAATACAATCTGCTAGTTAATGATAGCATTTTAATTTGCGAACTAGTTCTGAAAATGGATTGCCATTAATTTTTTAGTAACCAAATTAAGAGAAATTGGAATTATTGTTATTTCTTTCTCAAAAAGTAGAACTACGGATGTAGCTCATGCTAAAATTCGCCCCCCTTGCTCTTAGCACCATTAGACCACTCTAGGTGTTCGTTTCTATTGTAGCTTTGTGGTCAAGACAATTTGAGAACAATTGAATTGAATTTAATGAATAAAGAGTTGAATTCCAGTTCAAATTTCTAAAATCTGGGGCTAATCTGTCCGATTTAAGTAACCCAACATCTGTAATGACGCAATAGAGCTTGCTGAACAGTGTTCACTCAAGGTGGTCTTCTTAAATGAAATAGTAAGCAGAATGAATAAGCACTTTAATTTGCAACAAACGTAGTTTATTGCGCTAATCTTTATTATCTGAGAGAATAAAAAGCCGAAATTTAGTAATTACAAAATAGTTGACCGATTTCGGACCTGTGATGTGTCAATTTCAAATGTAATAGGACAAGTAATTTATTTATACAAAAAATAAAATTTAAGGAACTTACTGCATAGTAATAATTTTAAGGTAATTATTCGCTACAAATGGAGAGAATAAAGTTATTAAATTGATTCTAATGGGAGGGGGGGGGAGGACTAAGTAAAGGGATTTTAATTCTAAAATGCTGGCATTGTATTCAGCATATAACTTTACAGTCCTCAAGTCGACTATCGTAGTGCCTCATGCGCCTCTAGTTATATGATTGTCTTTATCTCCCACCAGTATCTACATCCACAATTCTAGTTCTCATTCACCAATATATCACCTTCATTATGATGGTTTTTTCGTGTTCCCCTTTGCCCTACATCAAATTTATTTTACTTCCTCCTATTTTAAGAACATTTTCTCTTTGAAATTTTGCAATTCCATTCCCTAGACTACTATTTTGCAGACGTAATTTGCGTGTTATTTAGATTTTGGATGATCTATCAGGGATGGGTATTAGTTACTAGTATCTCAAAGATCGAATTCGTTTTCAGGGACTCTGAGTCAGAACATAAAGCACATTTAAGAAACGAGTGTAACATATACATAGATATTTGCCTATAAAAATTGGTTTATGCATCTCATTATGAGCAGTTCATCATGAAATAATGACCTGAACAGATGTCGGTGTAGCATAAATACGCTACTTTCCGTTAAGATGCTCATTCAGATGGAAATAGTAGCTAATGGGAATTAACGAAAATTCATACAGACAAGTAACAGCTGCTTTAACTCCACTTTAACTTAATAAACCCATCGTATGGAAAATATTATTTAAATATATAAGTGCTTCTCAAAATACGGCCAGTTAGAACTTTTATTGCCTTTAAAAAATTAAAAGGACTCGAACCAGATGCCACATGATAGAGATAAACCATATCATCTTACGATTTGAGATTGATTCTTCAAAATGCTCGGAATTTTCAAGTTCCAATTTCTTTCAGCGAGGCCAACAGCTCAAATGCTGCCAAAAGCCACACAATCATGTAGAATTTATATGGTGTGTAATGCCCCGTTGTTTATATGAGAAGGTACCCCTCCTAGGGAAAAAAGAGTAACACGTGATACGCATATTAATAAGTATGCTTCACCTTTTGCTGTTTGGGAAGTGAGAAAAATCCACGAATTCATTCATCGTCTCTATCCATCACGGATAATAAGTAAGTATTGGCGTAAAGGTATGTTCGTACTCAGGGGTGTGCGAAAGACTTACCTCCACGTGGCGCACCCTGGGCAACGTATACTCCTATGGCAAACAAGTCTATAAACCGGCAGTTGACTTCTGACTTCAAACTACCATCACCCCATTCTATGTCATATTCGACTACTTCCACAGTATTCACCTCACCCTTTTTCTACCTTTGTGTCTGTCTCTTGTACATCTTTGAAACGCTCTTCTGTTCCCCCCCCCCCTCCATCTCCACTTTTTTCACTTTGTTGTTCCTTCCCTCTGTAAAGTCTGAAGTCAACTAATGGGCTAATGATAACCATCAAAACAGCTACCATTTGATATAAATAAATAAATGTTCGTACTCATAGTATTTGAATACAGCACGTGTAAATACAGTAAGTGAAAAATGCCAACATCTTGAACATTGACTTCGGGAGATAAATATAAGAGGTCATAGTTCAGGGTCACACGGAAGGCACCGTAAGAGAAATCATTGTGTGAAAAAGACCTTTTGGAGGTAGTAATGATAAAAGAATATCTCACAATGGGGAGCAGAAAAATGGTGTGAATAGGTGTATATCTGTGTTAGTGCATTTACAGGACGAGCCTTAATGCAATGGAATTCGAAATGTATTAAGGCATTCCTCTTCCCATGAAGCTTATGGGTTGGTTACATTCCAATTCCCCAAAATCGGTTTTTCAAGAGTAATTTTGAAACCAAGATTTCAAGGTTCATAATCTACCTGCTAAAATTTTGTAGTTGATCCTATCATCAAGATCCATTCGTTTCATTCGACATTCCTTATCGGTTGCATATCTCATTACTGGGCGGTATTCCTAAAAGAGGCGTGGGTGTTAAAGTAGTTTTTAAAAATAATAGTCAACTAATTTTAGTTCTATTCCTCCACTTCCTCATTTGACTTGTTCCATGAGATCTACCAATTCCAAGTGCATAGAACTGACGTATTAGATGCTAGCTTTGGTGTGTTTTGGATAGATTTAACCTCCATCAACCTGTATCTCTCATTTTTAGATTATTTTTACTATGCCTAACAGTTTAATGACATTTAGATGTGCCACGTCTCGGTCACGATTTAATTTAATTTCGTTCTGTACAAGACCTCTGCATTCTTAATTAACATTACTTGCATTTGCAAAATTGAGGGGACAAAGTCCTATTGAAGTGATTGTTTTATTTTGATTCGGTACGCTGGTGAAAGAAACTGTAAAAATTCATTTTTTTAATGAACTGGCTTTATTTTGCTAATAATTCAAGCAGGTGATGGAATTCACAACCTTTTGAGTCTAGATGTTCGAAAGATTCAAAGAGATATCGTTCCCTTTAGAAATAGCGGACGTTTTTTTCAGTTATTGATTTTAGTAAATGGAATCTCATTTTGAGCTTTCATAAATTTAATTGCGTATAAATTTGCATTTAATATTGATCTGCAAGAACAAGTATTGTTCTTTTTAATAAGAGGTTGGAATGAATCCTATAGTAAAATAATTTATTTATAAGAGTTAACCAAGAAATCCTGAAAACAGATATTTATGAGAGAAACTTTATTGAAAGAGGACTTCACCCTTCTTTGGCAGAAATCGAATTTCTGGTTGTTTATAAATAATGGGTTTAATTTTTCATATTTTTGAATTTTTGAAATGGTCACAGCTTTGCAATTTTGAAGCTAAGACATTTATACTTCAACAAAAGCATATATCTCAAGTTAAAATCATGGTTTACGTTGCTATATAAAAGTCACTCGCTTTTTCCTTTCAGTAGCGGTAAAAGACTGCATTTTTCTATATCAGCGCTCTGTATCATGATTGATACTACTGCTCATAAAGAAAATACGATAAGAAAATGCGTATTTTCCATTCAAGGTTTTAAAATATTAGCTTTTTAAGGCCTTGAAGTGACCCATGACGTTACCCATTTGTAGCTTTGGCGTAATTCTCTAATCTTGGTATTTTAGATACAAACCTTCAATATGTAATAAAATTTTGTAAGGCTTATTCCAGGAAAATACAGAATTTTAAAAACTCATTTAATAGTTTGAATGGATTTGATAACAAAGGGGCCTTTTTTACAAAACGTAGGCCTGCCGTCACGCCTAAAGAAAGAAAAGAACTACAGTTACGCACGCTATCAGTTAAAGCGCTTCGTCATCTCCTCCTCGCTCACTGATTGGATCGAGTACTTGACCAATCAGAGATTAGCGTGTATGTTAGCCAATAAAGTGCTTATAAAAGGCCAGGGATTGCAGTTGTAAATAACGAAATTCGCGTTAACAAGGTTTCGTCAGAGGTGTTCGAACGTTGTTAATGCGGTTTTGCTTTTGTAAAGAACTCGTTCTCTCTAGATCACCAAATCATGGAAGCTTTTTATCATGCTGCTACTGGAGTTGTTAATACGGCACAACGGAATTTAGATGGGGGTATTTTCACATTCATTTTGGATCGACAAACAGATTCTCCGGAAATTACTCAAAGTATTGATGATTCGATCTTTTATACCCACTTTATCAATAAAATCAGTTCTGGAGGTTTCTTGGCAGGGATATTTTTCGGTCTCCTCTGGTGTATCTGTCTACTTGCCGGATTTTTCTTCATATGGTGGCTAAGATGCCGAAAAACTTCACCTTTATCTACCCTTCGGCTCATGAAACACCAATCTTCCGTCGAGTCCGGTAAATCCAACAACATTGAATTGCCGAAAAAATCCAAGCTCTTCCTTCGACGTCGACGGCTACAATCAAACTGGTTGTGCATTGCATTTCAATGTTGTGGTTTTAGTACCCTGGTCGGTTTTCTCCTTATTTTCTCTATTCTTGGGTTTGTCACCAGTTATTCCCTACATACTTCATTAACCACAGAATCGCCTTCCTTCTCCCATACGCAAAATCTCACTTTTATATCAAATAATTGGGGCCTTTATCCCGGCGTTTCATCAGCTCTTCAAAGTGTTCGAAATTATTCAGCAAACTTTCTGGATAATGTTCGTGTTTCAACAGCACCTGCAGTAGATAATTTGATTCAAGCGACCATGGAAATGCAAAACCAAACAACCATTAAAGTCAATGATCTCTTGCATAGTATGTTGGGCATTGATAGGGCATTCGACCTTGCCGACAAGGTGGGCTCACATACTGTCAAGTTACTTAATTTGGTAAACCCCCTAAAAAATTACATTAATGAGTACACAGATGCTGTATCCTCTTTGAGTATGGCTATTGCCCGGTGGAACGGATATATGGAACAACTTCATGGTGAAAAGAACTTAAGCGCCACCAAGGTGTGTGATGGAAATGCTACTTGTGTGTTACCAGTTCTTTCCGGCGCAGAAGTGACTGTTAATTCAAACTGGCGTCTTTCTCGATTCGATTTCGCAATAGCACTTAACTTTGTCACTGATGCGCAGAATCGAACTCCAGAAGTGATTAAGGAGCAATTGACTTCAGCCCGTCAAATTGCATCAAAGCAGCTCGACAAAACATTCGAGAAAATGCGGGCGGAAATCGATATTCCTGGATCTCTGCGTAATATGACGGAACGAAATTGGTTTATTTTGGCCGAAAAACTAAAGGCTGTGAATACAATCATTGATAGTCTCTCTGAATTCATTTCAAGCAAAATTTTTCCAATAACAAAAGTTGGATCCAATTACAATCTTGCAATCTGCTGCCTGATCTGGCTCTTTATGCTTGGTGTTGTACTTGCGTTGTCTGTCCTTCTATATCATTACCACTGTACCAACTCTACAATCGAGTCGCGGAATCGTAAGAAGATCAGATGCGTTTCATCATTTTTACTCATCATTCTCATTCTTTGCATTTTTGTTTCCTGTGTGCTCTTCCTTGTTTCTGGCTATGCATATACTGAAATCTGTCGCTATGTCAGTCCTGATCGTGCAGTTTTGGAGTATTCATTTGATAAAAAATCCGGTAAATATCAGGAGTCCTTCGTTCTTGATACTTACATTAACTCCTATCTCGATCAAAATTGGAATACTATCGTTGAGAAAATAAAAACAACTCTAAACGACAGCGAGAGTGAAGAAATGCCTATTCCAAGGATACGCAGCCCCATCTATGCTCTGAATGTTGCTTGCAAAAATAACGCTGGCATTTTAGATGCCTTCGGCGCTGTAGACAATTTCAATTACTCTGCACTAAATAAACCCGAGTTGACACAAGAGTTCGTCGAAAAAGGGCGCAAGATTATGAGGGAGACTTTGGTTGAACTCAACGTTACTGAAATGTTTCCCCCTGATACTACAGAATCGATTCAATTGGGCTCCCGTTTGGATGACTTTTTGATTCCATTCGATAAAGCTCGTCAGGAACTTCCATGGGATTTTTTGAATGTAACATCTCGGAACAAAACGTTGCTAATGACCGGAACAGACTTGTCTGCATTGTGGAAGGATTATTATGCCTTTTTGAGTAAGGGCAATCTTGCCGTTGAGACTCTTGAAAGAGCTGACGAACTTGCCAATATTGTCTTCAACTTATCAGCGGAAATCACAAAATTGCTTGAATCGGTGGATGGAATTCTTCAGGGCTTGGAGAATATAACAAAAATAGGACCAACAGCCTTGGAATTACAGTCGATATACGATAATTTAATGGATCAAGTTCGAAATCGCGAGGATCTTATTGTGAAAGCCTTGAATCTTTACGACACTCATGTGGCCAAAGAACTTCCACAGAAATCAAACGAATTAATTCGCAAATACGGTCCGGCTTTGCTTCGAGAGGTCGGCCGTTGTAGGAACTTACATGATGCCTATTCATCTGGAGTCGCCGCAGTATGTGATTCTGTAATTGAACCCCTCAATGGAGTATGGTTCTTTGCTGGGTTGTGTATTCTCATCTCTACCATTCTAATCACACTGGGATTACTTTTTCTACTACACAAAATCCCTCCTTTCCCCCATGCTGTTGCTGTCGACGTAAACGAGCCTTTATGCATCGCTCCCCATGAACAAAGTTTCCTAAAACCCGGTGAAAATTTGACCTCTGTAAATGGAGTTAGGATTGTCCAACCACCGGGTATTCACTCGTTGATAAGGGGGCAGCATTCGCGCCCACAAACGCCCACTTCGCAAGTGTAGCGCCATTGACTTCCAAGTCCCCCACTGCTACCGGTCTTTCTTTGTATAACAATCCCCATATCTCTCCACTACCCAACTGTACAGTCTCTCAAAACGTTCATTCCGGTGCTGCCGTTCACTACCCGTGCTTGACCTCTCTACCCCCCCC